ACAAGAGGAAACTAGAACAGAACAGTACACAGAAAATCGTATCACACGTATGAATATAAATATAGATGTAACCATAGATATAAATATAAATAACATGGCATCCCTTGATTTGAATTCTACAGTTTACACTGTATAGCCAAACATTTTTGCCATTGTATTGCTTCTCCACAGTATATGTTCTAGACATCTTTCTGACTGGAGGAATCTGTGCTTAACCTGCAATTTTTTCTGTTTGATGTGAACAAAGAAAACAGGAGATGTACCCATCCCATACGTAATATTTATTTTACCAACAGTGTGAGGTTAGTCTGATTAGCAGAATATAATGCATATTAAAAAATGGAGATCCTTATCCTATTTACAAAGCCTGCACACTCATGCGATTTTAAACATTTTTGGAAAAAAAGATGGTTTCTTCATCCATTGTAGTGGTGTTCACAGTGCTAATCTTACATGGAGAAAAAAACAGAAAAGCCCCCACATGAAGTACTAATTGAATGTTATTGTTTAACAGCACACAATTAACTAGTTCCTGACTGGTTTCCAGCTTTCACCTTGCTGTGAAAACAGCTTGCTTTATCTCCCAGTGAGCTGTAAAAGTCCAAGGCTTCAGTTTTTCAGCAGCTCACAGCACATGGTGAGCTCTCAGCGTATGGATTTCACCTTCCATTCTCAAGTATTTAGGACTAAAAAATTGCCAAGAGTTTGACAAAAGGATATTTAGGACTTTTGGAAAAAAAGATACATAAACATCAACCTGAAACCAAAAAAGGTCATAAGGTCATAAAGATAAGGCGGCTTCCTCTTGCGGTCAGTAAACATTACAATTGTATTCTTCAAAAGCTGGCTTTACTGTACACAGTGTAAACCACCTGTGTGGGCTTTGATGTGAAGTGTTGATGAAGTTTATTATATAGATAGGGAAATGTCCTCTGGTTGGTCTTTGCATGGAGACAGCATCTGCAACCTATTGCAAAGCATGCATCTGCAGATGTATGGCAGGTTCTGCTTATTAAGATGGCTAGTCAGACTCCTGGCCTGTGACTTTGACAATGTCTGTGTCGTGTTTGCTCAATACATCTCAACATCTGATGTCAACGCATCTGTTAAAACATTTGTTGAAGTTATAAGTGATAGATTTCTTTTGATACCCAGTACGTTGGTCACTTGGATTTTTGTCACTCTGTGTTATTGTTAGAGATATTTTAAGATGCGTATGAAATTGGATAATTCAATGAAACAAGTTAAAGGTTTGTGCCATGCTGAAAAGAGAAGAATGGAGACAACGTTTCGGCTATGCAGCCTTCTTAGGGTGTGAGAGCACACACCCTCTCACACACAAAGAAGGCTCCACAGCTGATAAATTGTGTTTCCTTTCTTCTTCTTTTCAGCATGGCGTAAACCTTTGACTTGTTTCATTGAATTATACAATTTCATACCCATCTTAAAATATCTCTAACAATAACACAGAGTGACAAAAATCCAAGTGACCAACGTACTGGGTATCAAAAGAAATCTATCACTTATAACTTCAACAAATGTTTTAACAGATGCGTTGACATCAGATGTTGAGATGTATTGAGCAAACACGACACAGACATTGTCAAAGTCACAGGCCAGGAGTCTGACTAGCCATCTTAATAACTACAGGCTACACATGCTGACGCAGCTCCCTACTTGACCTACTTAATTCAATGGAAAACCACTTTATTGAAAAAAATAAATGGAAAATGTTTATATCTTCATGCGGTTTAATGGTCCCAAATGTGATTATATGTCACTTTTTTAAGTTGGCTGCTATTTTGAAGAATTGTTAAGGTGACATTTACTTCCAGAACTGCCACCATCTCAACATGCTTACTTGGAGAGGCTAGAAGACTGGAATACCACCTTGCTTCTGTGGTGATTTGCATTCTCAGGGAGTGACATTCCAGAAATTCCACACTTTCACTCCAGTTCAAACAGTGCTGATCAGAGCAGAAAAACTCATGTTGCTAACATTAGACTTCATCAGAAAGCATTAGTTTTGATTGTACTTTAAGAAACCCAGGTTAAATTTTAGTTGACACTTTCTTATCAGCTGGTTTCGATATGAGCAGGCTTCACTGCTAAAAATCTCCATGTTCAAAGAGTACTTTTATTTCCTGTGTTGAGCAACTTCACCTTCCCACAGACTTGCATTATGCATAAGCCTTAATTCAAACCAGGACTCATCATACCAAATTCATCATACTTCAAGAGATATTCAGTATATTTGAAATGTTATATACCCCACATGATCTCTGCCTTTCTAGAACTTTTATTCCTGAGTTGATTTGAAAGCTCCTTGATCTTGATGATTGCGTCTTTGCTTGAAATATACTACCTGACTTAGCATCCTTAGGGACAGCCTAATTATTGTGAAATGAGAACCACAAGTACATTTTTACCCCTAAACATAGCAATTTTAAAAACATCTGCAAGGGGCTGCCAGATGTTTCAAGGCCCTATCTCTCTGTGACTTCCAGAGATGACGCTCCTCTCCGCTCAGCCTGCCTCTCTGGACTCAGTCCCCGCGGCGACCACCTCGGACAACGCGGAGCAGAGGATGACGGAGAAGAGGAGCAAGGTCATCCAGGAGCTCCGTCAGACAGAGGTGGATTACATCAAAGACCTGCAGATGTGTGTCAAGGAAATAATCGAGCCCCTTCAGAGGAAACAGGTACTTCCAGGACTGAAACGTGGACTGACCTTTTTTTTTCTGGGAAGTCACCTGTTGTCTTATGTAATGTGAATGCAGCCCCGGGGTACTTTACATTGTCCATTATTCTTTAGGAAGCAGGCAAATTGCAACCAAATGCAAGACGTTATCAGTTACATGAGAATGTCAAAATCTGTCTCATCATACTTTTGCAGTTCAGCACTGCTTTGACTTTGTAAATGACTTTTATGTCCATCTTAACTTAGTAAAGGCTTCAGTCCAACATAATTTGCCCTGAATGCTAATTATACTTTTTTGTAATCTTTTTTTTTAATATAGGTGCAGAATGTTGACTTTGATGGTCTCTTTGGCAATATTAATGCTGTGATTGATCTCTCCAAACGCCTGAATAAGAGCCTGCAAGAGACGGACTCCATTGGTAGGATTCATGCTCACACTTTTACATTTAATTACAGTGATGTAAGTGCAGTTCACATTCAAGGAAAATGTGATGTTTGCTCACATGGTGTAGCTGTTCACTCTGCATTAGGAGGTTTTTTGCAAAGGATATATATTATTCATCTAAAACAGACACTTTTAATCTGAATTTTGAATAATCAGCAATTAATTTATACCTGCTATGGCTATAACTCCTGTTCTGCACAAGAATGAGGATTTGTGAACTCCTTATTGTTAATATTTTCTGTTGGAGCCATCTAATCTTTTTGAAAGTGCTTCAGTACTGTGTAATGGTACCTTTACTTGGAATAAATTCTACTTGTTGAAACACTCCGAAGCTTTGAAAACACTGTTCACGGCTAACTTTCACTTAATTATAGCCCCAGAAACTGAGTTACAAACAAACCTTGCAGATTAGAGCTTTTATTTATAAGTTGAATCAGAAATGTAGACTTGTTTCCAAGTTGTACATTGAAAGGCATCCCAGACTTCTCTCTTGAAAATTAATAGGATAATTAGAATAATTGCAGTTAGAATGAAATGTAATTTGATTGATTCTTGCAGTGTAGAATTCATGTTTAATTTACTTTCATTGTGTAATAAGCTGTATGTATGTACTTGTACCCACAAGTCAATTTCTAGTACATATTACCTTTTACCTCAGTGTGTAATTTATTAATTGCCTTTTAAGGAGGTAACATTGTCTGAGTAAAGAAAAGGGTGACCATAACCCTGTAAAGTTGCTTTTGATAATCATAACAACAGAGCAATTGATTTAGGCCACGAAAACATAAACATCATCAATGGTAAGTCTACAGCATTAGTATAGTTTTGAAAACAAGAGCTGCAGAAAAATGAAAGAAACTCTTTACCATATATTATTAGAATTCAGTGGCCAATTATCCATTGCTCAGCTTGTAACTGTCAGCTGTACAGTTTTTCTTAAAATACATAAGGGTATTAAAGTAGGAATGTGTTTTCCATTTGACAGGAAGGTGTTTTTTGGAGTTCAAGACAGAGATGGAAGACGTGTATAAAGTCTACTGTCAGAATCATGACGATGCGATCTCTCTCCTTGAGGGGTATGAGAAAGACGAAAATATACAGAAGCACATTTTGGAGTGCCTGGAGAGGCTGAGGTAAACTCCTTTTCGAAGGTTTTACTCTTTTCTTTCTTTAAAAGAAAGCCCATCTAAACATTCATACAAATATATTAGGGGGTTGTGTCAAAATATACTGATGTACAAAGCCAAAGCAGCTGGAGAGATGAAGCCACTGGGCAGCATGGTTGGGATGCTTACGATGGTGTGTCCATCTCCTCAGGTTTTTGCATTATCAAAAATTCTTAACCACATTCTTAGGTTAAGAATGTGCCCAACCCAGTTTTACTACTACAGAGTAGTTTTTACCTGTTGATTTGCTGCAGTGGGCAGCTGGTTTGTATCCTTGTGTCGCTGATACAATATTTGTTTTAGATTCAGTGGACAGAAGTTCTGCTCTGAGCGTGTTTGTGTGTCTCAGTGAAAATCCTAGTAAGGATGGAGGAAAGAGCTTGTGATGTCCAGGTGGTTTGTCTGCTCTATTTAAAGAACTGTGGTGCAGTTAGAGCAATGACATGAATTGCTCCTACCACGGGAACAACTTACAAAGGGAAGAATGTATTCCCTAACACCTGTCTACACCAGAAGGCACCAAAATGGGGACTTCTCCAGAGAATGCGTTTAAGCTATCACGAACAGAAACGGTGGCTGATCTAGCGCCAATTGGTGTGTACTGATGTTCTCCATGGGAACATGTCACATTTGTATGTGTAACATACATTTTTGCTTCACCATGCACAATTTTCATTAATCATTGTTTCAAATGGATAAACATTGTTATAAGCGCATTAACATCAGCAGGGTAATTCACATACACTTTAAGCAAGAGCTGGACACTTTCAAAGTTCACAGTAACATAGAAGATTTTTTTTAATTTGACAAATGACTCAGTGGGAATTGTAATTCTATCTAAACTTTAATTTTTTGCTGACTTTTTCAGATCAAAAGCTCTTAAAATACTATACCAAACAATCATACAGTGGTGTGGTCTTGGCTAACATTTCATTTTCTTTTTCAATTCTTGATTTATAGCCATCAGGGCATAGGGCTTAGGGTTGTGCTCAGGTTCATGTTAGGACCTCCCCCAGTGCCTGTTACCAAGCCTCTGAGTCACTCATATCCGAAAGCTGGAAACATTTAAAATCTTTGATCTTTTTAAAACATCTGTTTTGAGAGGTTTTATCTTTTTTAGACCTTTTTGAGGACGGTCGTTGAAAGTTTCTCTTATTCTATTTCTGTTAATCAATTACTGCATTCATCAATAAAAGTAGATGGGATTTACTTTGGAATGATATGTTCACAGTGAGGTAGAGTCTCAAAGAACACAGATTTCAGCAAACAGTTTCTCCACCTCTTGAGTCACAGAGTGATGGCACTCTGTTCTCCCCCCATTTCTTTCAGAGGATCAGAGAGGCCAGTCGGGACCTGTAGCTCATTTGGTTGCTGGTAGCTAACTAATCCGAAGATCTCACCTATTTCTTGAAAGATGTCAGGTTTTGCTTTCAAATGCATGGCTGGGTAACATGTTCTAGAACACTCAGGCCTACTTCTTTGGTTAATGTTTATTTGTACTTTCACCAAACACTAAAAATCCAACAACAAAGGTAACCATTAACCCACACTGCACTGTAGTGAAGTGAGAGAAAGGTGCAGTGAGTATAAGTTCAAGTCGTGACAGGTTTTCAGAAGAGGTTTGCTTGCGGCGCTGTTGGAGCAGTACACAATAGACGATTTATTACTGATTGAGCCGAGCAGGCTACAGGTGGGGCACATCACTGCCTGAATAAGAGATGTTCCAAGAAGGCCTTGTGCAAGAGCTCTGACGTGAGCCATCTCATCACATCACTCTTTCAGGTTTTGTGTGTTTCAGACCACACCTTAATTGGCCTGAACAGCTTGGAATCATCAATGTGATTAATCAACTTTAAACCCCCCTGTCTTACAACGGTGTTTGTCAGGGGAAAGGTGCTCTAACTCTTTCCATTTCTTTTCCTTTCCCCACACGATGGCTCCCTTCCCCTCACAGAGCTGTGTATCGCGAGTGGTAAGTCTGCCAGTGTCTGCATGTGCTGCTCTTGACTGCATGCTCTTCTCATTAACCATTTTTAACCACTTTGTTTGGTTTGCTGGTTGTTCCTCCTCTCTTTAGGATTACCTAAGGCTTGAGTCATTGACTGCTGTCAAATTTACGATGCTTGGTGTGGGTTTTAAGCTCGTGAGCGTTCCCAGATTTTTTTGTTTTCTGAAGGCAGATCCACAAAAGTGTTCTCATATCTGTACTGGGATGTTGTTCATTTCCAGAGTGTCATCTAGTGGAAGAATATAGAATTGCTTCATCCTCTTTTTGTCACATGTAGGACAGGATAATGTTTGCAAATTAAAATTCCTGGAGTATTTTTCAAAACAGAAGTAATTAATCTGTTGTATTTAAGTAACTGTATCATGCAAACTTGCAAGGCATTTGTAGGTCAGTGTCAATTGAAAATACATTTCCAAATCTTCACAGCTTGAAAATAGAAAGTATGATAGATAAAACTATGTAGGAAAAAGTATCAGTATTCATAATATTCAAAACAAAAAATTGTGGTTTGCTTTAAAAACTGGATTCAGACCTAAATTATTTTAACTTTTCCAAAATATTATTTTCATTGTAGAAAAGAATAATGTAGAAAACATAACATACTTTCTCAGTGTTTTAATTTGAGCATCAGTGATATCCTTAGTTTAATTTAATAAGGCCCATAATAAAACAATATTGAACCAACTGCAAGTTTCAAATGTCGAATTGTGGCTTCTTTCTACCAAAATGAAAATCACTTTGAGGTGTTAGGATTGGAGGTCTTAATTGGGAGGTACTGTAGATGAAAGGTTTAATTTAACCTGAACCTAAATGCAGTGAAAGAGAAACTAACATTGTTTTATGCTTTTGCCATAACATGTTACTAGGTCACCCTGCATCTGTGTTGCCTTAATACTCTGTAGGTAACATTGCACATGTTTGTGTCTTAAAACCAATAAACTAAGGACTCCCTGTATACAGCCCTAATCATAGTTGAGTGCGAGTTCTCAGATTATTGTAGGGTGGCCTGTACTGTGTTTATAGCTGGCTTTGGAGAAAGGTGCAGCTGGTAGCATTGTAGCCATAGACTCCTCCTCTAAATGCAGCACATTAGGCAAACAATCTTTAAGATTAAAGTAACGCGATGGCACCCTCTACCTGTAAACAGGGGAAAGACCAACTACATCAACGTGGGCTCGTTCCTGATCAAGCCAGTGCAGAGAGTGATGCGGTACCCCCTGCTGCTGATGGAGCTGCTGAGCGCCACCCCGGAGTCTCATCACGACAGGGAGCGGCTGGCCGAGGCTCTGCTCGCCGTCAAGGAGATCAATGTCAACATCAACGAGTACAAGCGGAGAAAAGACCTGGGTAAGGACCGGGACACGAGGCGGGAAAAAAACAAACTAAAAACAAATTCCAGATCCATTCAGAAAAAGTTAGACATGTCTCTTTGCTTGCTTTAAATGTTTATTAAAGAGCCCAGGTGTTTAATTATGGATGTGAATTTGATGGCTTGGTTTAACATATCTGGTTTGCAGAAGTGGCCACGTTGTACCAGTCAGGGAGAATTGGGACTTTCTCCTGTTACACTTCTTGTTCATGGAAACAGTTATAAATTCGCCAGTCACTTCTACTCTGAGAACTGTATGTCAACACTCCTTATCTACATGTTGTGTCTGTTGTTTTTATTTTAGCAGCACTCTGGGGTGCTGTGATATAAAAATCATACCGTCTTGACTAGGCCATAGACACTGCACGCACAGCAGAAGATGTTTTCCCCAGAGTCAGTAAAACAAGTGCAGTCTCTGCTAGAAGAGAGAGGTCCTGAACGAGTGGTTTCTGGTGTCTTCCGCAGTTGTGAAGTACAGAAAGGGAGACGAGGACACTCTGATTGACAAAATCTCCAAGCTCAGTATGCACTCCATCATCAAGAAGTCCAACCGCGTCAGCAGCCACCTGAAGCACCTGACTGGGTTTTCGCCCCAGGTACCCTGTTGCTGTGTCTCATCCCTGCATTGCATTCCCCATGCGTCTGCACTTTTATTCCCCACGGCAGTCTGGTGCTATGTTAACAATACAACAGCAGTTTGTTAATAGCTTGTTCTATACAAATAAAGTTGAAATTATTTGGTGGTCACATATTACAAAATCATTTGCATGTTAGTTTATGTTGTGCTGATACACACAGAAAAGGTACTAAACATATCCTGGTTGGATGGTTAAACTTAAAAGCGGAGGAAATTAGTGGAAATTGTAGAAATTCCTGGAATATTACAATTACTTGGAAGTGTCTGTGACCAGCCATGTTTAAATTGTGATTAGTAGAACATATTACAATACAAGTGCACTTTGGACTATTTTTATTGTAGTGTTTACAAGCCTGGCTTGATGAAATTGCAGTCTGATTTTGTAAACCATGTTTTTCTTCCCCATTTTGAAAGAGCGGTTCATATTGGAAAGTCAGTGTTGTCCCCATGTTTACTACTGGGTTACCCACATAGCATTGTTTTAACCTGATTTTGCTCTCCTCAACAGATTAAAGATGAGGCCTTTGATGAGGCAGAAAAGAACTTCCGGATGCAGGAGAGACTGATCAAGTCTTTTATCAGAGACATCTCTCTGTATCTACAGCATATACGGGTGAGAGTCTATTCACTCTGCAGCAAGAACTGTGCCTTTAGAAATCAATCCAGATAAAGCTAACACTGTGATTAGTACAGGCACAAAAGTTCTGAAGATCATAATGTGCTCAAATAGACACTCTCTGTATCAGTAATTAAGGAAGAAGCCAAAAAAGCAGAAATCCATAATCTTTATTAACAGTTATACATAATAAAGAGTACTAAAAATGTACAAGGTTCATTGGAAGCATGGTGGATAGTTATGAAACACTGATATGTTTGCATTTTTCAATGTTGTCTGAACAACAGCAGTTGTGGATTGTGATGCTTAGCAGTTCTGTTGAGCTTTTCCCTCTTCCTTGGAATCAGTCACCATTTGAGTGCTTTTAGCTGCAAACTTTGTCACCGGTACCTACAAGAGTAATAGACTGAACCTTGGCACATGGTGGACCATGGCATTCATTCAGTTATTTATGGTAGTGATTAATGTTTGTCATTTTGCACGAAGACAGCGATTATTGTAGAACCTCTGCTAAAGGCGGCAAGTAAGTTTGTAGTCTGAAGTCTGTCAGTTTTTAATGACAGTGCTTCCCTTTACATACAGTAGATCAATGTATTTGTATTATCAAGTGAAAAATGTGGCAACAGTTGGCATAATCTTAGTTAAAATTCAGAATTTTATTAATTGTGAATTGTATGAGTTACGCCCATACTTGAAGAAAAATGAAGACTAGAATTAAACATTAGTAACCAGAATGTTGCAGGCTGTTGCATATTCAGATATCTTTCCCAGGGATTTGAATAGAATTTTTTGGGGGGGTTTACAGAATTCCACTATATTTTTTTTCCAAATGTTCTACAACTAATGTGCTTTTTTTTCCAGGAATCTGCATCAGTTAAGGTTTTGGCAGCTATCAGTTTCTGCGACATTTATGCTGACAGAAACCAAATGGACCCAGAGCGATTTCAAAAGGCTCATCGATGCATCAGTGACAAACAGTTCATAAACTTTGTAAGTCCATTACAATGAAACGGTTTGATGATGCAATCCAAATAAAGTGAAACTTGTTTTGTGGTAAAATATTTTCTGCAACATCAGTGGAAAAGTTCATTATCTAGTGGGAAAGCTCGCATTAAACAGCAGTAATTTAAGATTCTGATGTGTTTTGTGTGTGCAAACTTGTCGTGTGTAAGTTTTTGAAACTGTTTTTTAAACTGAGCCTCTCTATCAATGTCTCCTAACAGAAGGAGAGGACTGAGAATTTAGTCATTACTCCCCTGAATCAGCTGCTTTCGATGTTCGCTGGCCCTCACAAACTGATCCAGAAGCGCTTCGATAAACTGCTGGACTACAATAACTGCAAAGAGAGGGCCGAGAAGATCAAGGATAAGAAGATGCAGGAGGAGCTGCAGTCGGCACGCAACAACTACGAGGCACTCAATGCCCAGCTCCTGGATGAGCTGCCCAAATTTCACTGCTGTGCAGAGGAGCTTTTCACCAGCTGTGTGCGCAATTTTGCGATGGCTCAAAAGGAGTTTGTCCGTCTCTCTCTGGGAGAACTCAAGCCTCTCCTGCAGGTGAGTGAGTGAACCTGTGGAGACATAGAGGAAGTGCAATACAGCTTTCGAGAGGAGTTGGGAGTTTTATTATTAATGGAGATGAGAATACGATCATTACAAGACCATTTTCATACCAAGTCTTTCATACCAGTTAAGAAATGATTGCATTTTTAGAATAAAAATCCTCAGCTCTTGGAAAAGTATATACTACAGTACAATAAGTATTTCTTAATCACAACAGCAATTGTTTTTTAAGTACTATTGAGAGTCTTTTTGTACAGTATGGCTCATATTGGTTATTATTAGAGTTTAAAAGATTAATTGGCTTCATCGTGTATGGATAGTATCAAAATTCATTCAGTGCCCTGCAAAAACGTTTTGCACAGATTATTATTTTGGCCTGTGTATAAATCAACTGCAACATCACGCATCCTCTCCAGTGTAGAAATAAATTAAATTATATATAGAGTCTATTATGGGAGAAAGCAGGTGATAAGTTCTGCCTTTGGCAGTAAAACCAAGAACGGTAACACATGTCCACACTCGCACATAAATTATTATTAATGTGGGAACAAAATATGAGCAAATGGTACCACAAAAATGTTAACTCTCATAAACGAGATGATTTAGGGATCTTGACAAGCATATTACTTAATATTCATGCACCATATAACATCGTCTCTTAAATCTAAAAGTGACAGAAATATTTGTTTTTACTCTCTTTCATTACAGTGGATTGTAAAAAACTAAATAGAATAATAATCAGTGGGAAGTCATGGCAAAAACAGCATTATCAGCATGTGTTTATGAGTTTGGTGTTCTTAATAATGAAAAAAAAATGGAAAAAGGATTGCACGGCAAACCAAGATGTTCTCTAAGCTCCAGGTAGCATGTAAGTTCAGATGCAGTTCTTTAACAGCACCTTGCCTGTCTGCTTCTTCATAGCTCTCTAGAATAGGGGGCACTGAAGGTAACCTGATAGCCCTGTTCCAGGAGGCACATGGACAGGTCCTGCAGCAGCTGCAGTGTTTCAGCTTCTTCCCAGAGAGCCTTCCTGCTGTCAGGAAACCCTTTGAGAGGAAGAGCATGGAGCGACAGTCCTCCAAAAAGCAGCTTCAGGGGCCGGTGAGTGACAGTGTTTAAAACCTTGACACATGAAGTCAATATGAGTTTCTGTTTAAGATTTTGTTTTTTTGTAATGGTGGTTTATTTCCAATATATTCCAATGTATATCCAATATTCTAATTTATTTTCAATTTAAAATGATAAACAAAATACTGTATCATCTGTGTATTTCAAAAGCTCACTGTATGTAGGAGTTTATTTTGTAAGTTTACTTTAAGTGCACCTCTCCATATTTTAGTTTGCATTCCACCAGGCAGGAAGGTTTAAAGTTGACCATAAGCTTGTAAGATCAACATAAACTACTAAATACCCCAAAGCAGAGCTTCTTTTGAATAAGAAAAGCCTCCCCTGGTCATAACTGGACTTTCTGCATCTCTGTGTCTCCATAGCCCAATTATGTACTCCAGACTGAGAGTCAGCGAGCCGGTTTGCTTTCAAAGTATCCCCCAGAGAAGCTGTATCAAGCTGAGAGGAACTTCAACGCAGCCCAAGACCTGGATGTCTCTGTGTTAGAAGGTGATATTGTTGGAGTCATTAAGCAGCAAGACCCCATGGGAAGTCAGAATCGCTGGCTTATAGACAATGGAGGTAGGTTTCAGCTGTGGAACATGAACAGCTGTCCTTACTGGTTTGCGCACTGCTCACCTGAAGTCTCAATCTTAAAATAAGCATACATCTTATAAGAGCATAAAATAGTAAGTGACTTTATCACAGGTTGTTTACATGTATTCAGTAATGTATAGTAGTATAGTAGCTCCTAGAGCACAATGTTCTCGGTTTCAAATGTGAACTTGCAGTGCATGGCTAAGGGTGTCCAAAATAATTACTCTGCAATCACAGGTGTGATGTATTCCAAAATTGCTGTTAGACACGCCAAGGTGATAATGGGGAAAACATGTCGAAAGTTTTAAATATATTGTCCTCTCTTGTCTTTCCAGTCACCAAGGGCTTTGTGTACAGCTCTTTCTTAAAGCCGTACAACCCTCGGAGAAGCCAGTCTGACGTCTCGATAGGGAGCCACTCGTCAACCGAGTCGGGCTACGGAGGCTCCTCGCCGGTTTTCTCGCGACAGAACAGTAACAGCACCCTAACCTTCAACCAGGAGAGCGCCTCTGTGACATTCTCCACTTTGCAGTCCCAAAAATCCGGCGCAGACTCGGTCTCATCACGGGACTCCCAAGCTTCCTCGCAGTTGACCCCTCAAGAGAGCTGCTCTTCCAGGAGAGGCAATTACAGAGAGACTCCGTCACCGAACCGGACACACTACGGTCAGAGGGATCTCTCAGATTCGGCCTCTGAAACGGACTCCCGATCCTCCCAAAAAAATGTCCGGACAAATATTTCATATCGCGATGCGCAGGTGGATAGGTACATTGAAACGGATCCGGCTTTTAGCCGAAGGAATGGAGATTGTGGGTTGCCTGACCAGAGGAAGTTGGAAAGTAATCATGAAAAGGAGTGTGAATCTGATGGAAATCAGGTAGGCTTGCAATTAATTGTGCAATTTTTAAAAGAAGAGATAATTCATTGTAAAGTGAATTATTTGATTCTGAGAAAATTAATGTTTTTATACCAAGCTTTCAGCTGAGCCTATTGAGTAACAGTATCAGTATGGTGTTGTAGTTTTTTGAGTATAGGTATTTCAGCAAATTAGCTGATTCTAATTCCTGTGAAAAGACCTAACAAGAAATGCTGTTTCTTGAGCATGTTATCCCACATTTTGTAATACATTTTGTATTGACACAGTGCTAACCTTTCCATTTGCAAGTGATTATTAAGAGCCAGAAACATTTGTTTACTTCATCGCATTTCCAAAGCTAAATTTGTAGTGATTAAAAAAGGTGTCTTCTCCTGGAGTTGTATATTTTACATTTAAAATTTAAATAACAGTGCAAACTCCCCAGTTCCATAACCCCAGCCCGTAGGCACATTAACTCTTGCTATGCACCATTGGAGTGAGCTTTGCTCCCGAAAATAGGACATAATAGCAGTAGTTATGTGTGAAGAAGTATGAAATATTTCATTTTTAGTCTATTTATGGATTATTGACTGAATTTGAATATATTCAATTGAAAAGATCAATTTGAAAGTGCCCTCTCTGCATATCAGACATTTTTCTTATGCAAAACAAAGTTCCAGAATGCTTTCAAAAACTAATAATAACAAGAAAAGGCAGTTGTCCTTGTTACCGTTCAAAGCTTTAAGATATAAAATCCATAAACCTTTGAGACCACAATATCTCCTTAAGATAATCAGAAGGCTAGGATTTTTTTTTCTCCAGATAGACGCTGAAAAGCAGGTCAAAAGCTATATACTGTATAAGGAACAAAATTCACCAGTGCACTGTACTACAAACGGAATCCTAATGTGCCTGCCTCTTTGTTCATGTCAATTTGGAGGCTCTATAAAGTTTGCTTTTTCCCCCCCAGATTTACTATGCCATCTACTCATTCACTGCCCGTTGTGCCAACGAGTTGAGCATATCTGCCCAGCAGCGCGTGAAGATCCTGGAGTTTCACGACATGAACGGGAACCAGGAGTGGTGGCTGGCGGAGGTGGAGGGCCGGCGGGGTTACGTCCCCTCCAACTACATCAGGAAATCAGAGTACACGTGAAGAGAGCCTGGGGGCCGAGGATGCCCGGAGCCACCGACACGAACAACAGACTGGTGCCTTATTTCTGGAGAGGGACTTTCTTTTCTCTCTCTCTCTCTCTTTGGAGTTCAAAGTGCTTTTTTGGAACTTTCATGGCTGCTGATATTGTATGACAGGAACACGTGTGTAGTTCATCATTCGCAGTCCCTGAAGCCTCTCTTGGCTCTTTTCTCATGGGAGGGTAAAACATATGCTGCTGTTTGCCTGTGGTCTTCCAAACCCCCCCACATTAGATTTTCCAGTGAAGAAACATCAGATGCATTTTAGGACATACAGTTGCTACTAAAACTGAAAATGAGAAACCATGTCAGAACAGCTTAAACGAAAACAACATCCTTACAAAACATGTATTTACTTGAGAAGTTGCCCTGAGTTTTACAGCTAATCAAAGTGTGTAAAGTATCCAAGTTACCAGCATTTTTTAAAATAGTTTTTTTTGTTCAGAGAAAACGGTACACGAATAAAGAAATGCATAAGGAATGCGTTTATGCACAAGGTGTGAAACACTGGATTAAGCTTGGCTACAAGAGTAGGACACGCCAAAATTACTAGAGTTTTTGTGACAGTATTATGTAGGGTGAGAAGGTTGATTGAGCCGAGTTTAAATATGTATCTTGTGCACATAAATGTCTTGTGATTCTGCAGCTATTTTAGAGGCTCCAGCTTTTAACCAGGGCATCAAAAACCATATTCTTGTTAAAAAATTAACATGAAGAGGTTGATAATTGTCATAAAAGGGAAAGCTGATTTTTAGGCCTAGTGGCGCAGAACTCCAAGTCAATAAATTAAATGATACTTCCATCATTAATTAAATATTCATATTCTTCATTAAATCTTCATAAAAGAACTGATGGAAATTGAATATTGTGTTCCATCACTGCATAGCCTAGGAAACGCTTTCCTCTGTCTTATTTCAAGGACCGAATTGTTTAGGAGCTTAATTTAGTGTTGAAGTTATGACAAATTTATAACTTTGCACCTTGTTGTTTCGGTTTGCAATAAAACATTATAATTGCATTCTGCAGTTATCCATCTTGTAATATCTGTCTGATTTCAAATCCTGAAGCTTTGCCTATCAGTGAAGAAGAGTTTACAGATGTATGTTGATGTGGCTATGGAAGTTTTCATTTTGGGCAAGGAAGAGTGCTAAAATGCTTGAGGGCCATCATCATAGATTTAGTTAAATTGAAATGCTCATCTTCACAAATAGCTCAAAGAGTATGCTGTACCAACTGTGTATCTGCATGAACACTGAATGTATTATTTAATCATTCAGCATGCTACTGATGAGAAAATGTATTATAAAAAAAGTTTTATATGATGGACTGTACAAAAAAAAGTGTATATTTTTATTCTTTTTGCTTTTAATAAAATCCAGGTGACTGGTTTAGCCTTGTTGTATATTGAACCTCATGAACATACTTATTGTGAAAATTTTGTGGGTGGACTTGAACAATCATGAAATGCTATATCAAACTTTTCTGCAAATATAGCTTCAGTCCTCCATACTCTTCAGTGTCTTCTCTGAGAAATTCCAGTGCCAACACGTGCAGGCTAAACTGAACAATCCAAACTGCTAAGGTTTGCTTTTAAAATTTCATCTTAGACATCTTTGTCTTGTTCACTTCTTAGAAAGTTGTTTCTTTATAAGTACAGTCCTCTTGATATTAAAGGTATGCCTTATTTTATTTATTTTTACATAATGGTATAAGTTGCAAGAAAATGAATGTAATACTGCTCCTTCTGTCGTGTATGGAAGAATACATTCAGAAATGAATCATTGTGTTTTTTAACTTCAGACTAAATTAAGGTAATACAAATTTTCAATTCGAAATTCAAAGCTGCATCTGCTTTTGCCCAGGTCAGTTTTTCTTCAGTTTGCATGGTGTTTTCTCCTACAGTCTGATGAAGGCTGTTGAAGGATATTTTTTTATCCTTGTCATTCAAATTCTTACAGTACAACAAATGGATAAAGTTCAGGTTTGACCTCTTGATAATATTTCTAGGTTTTCCAGTTCGTTTTTAGTGCTTCTAAAGGAAATGATTTACAGTAAGCACTGCCATTTCAGTTTTTCTTGCAGCATTGTTTTTTCAGCAGTGTTTTTTCCCCACTTTTGACCTTTGTTCTTCTACTTAATTCCACATGTGTCTGGATGACACGCAAGAATCGATAAGTCCAACTGTGAAAAATGTATTTGTCAAGAAGAACAGCAAAAGAATATGGTATATATAATAATTTCTTATGAGGATTTTTTGTCTTTTAATAGGCGTTTCTGTACAAAATAGCTTTCTTTCCTGACATACTATATAAAACTGCTTTATGTTGTTATCGATACTAATTCAGCAACAATATAGCGGCACAGTGAGAATGTAATGGATTGAATTTCACTCGGGCATTCAGAGCTCCATTTAGCATTGATAGTTTTTTTTTTCCCTCATTAGTCTAGCAGCTGTTAATGCGATATGGTTCATTTCAAAGCAAGAACATGAGAGCCAGTTTTACACAACGGTAGTGCTGACTGAAGAAATGCCACTGGAGGTAAAATACTGCATGCTGATTCTGACTGTATACTGCCAAGAGGCATACATGGTGCAGTTTTAACATAGTCGTAACACAGTGGTCTGAAATCCCTGAAAAGACTGCTGTTCGAAGACATTTTGTTCACTCTAATCCAGTGCTTTGAGATGCTTTTATACTGTAGATGCTGCTTAAAAATCTTTGAAAGAATAGTAAACTCATTCTCTCATTTTCTTAGCATTCCCATGCTATTTTTTGTGATGGCTGTAGAAGGTCTTGTATGGGTGAGGCCGGCGAGTTGTGTGTAAGCACTTTTAAATTCATAATGCACAACTGATTTTTTTTGTTTTAGTCAAATGTTTGTTGGGGAGAGTCCAGTATGAGTTTGCAGAAGATGACGCAACAAGAGTCAACGTTTGATCAACAATTGCCTCTTTCACTGACTGTATCGACTATTCAATATTCCAGGGGCAGGAAAGCTACGTACAGTATAGATCAGTGAGGCCTCTGCTTAAAATTTCCTTTCTTTAGTG